CTGCAAGTCGCAAGAGGAAGCGAGCGTTGAAGGCAGCGTCCAGCGCTGCCCCAGCCAAAGCTGATTCGAAGGCACGCAGCCGCAAGCGAGAGCCCGAGAAAGAAGACAACTCTTTGGACAGTGAGGAGCCGGATTCCGTCGACTCTGACAAGACTTTGGTGTTGGGTGACGTTCCTGCTGAGGCCAGCTGCTTCGAATATTTAGCTTGCACGGTTCAATCTGACAACAGAATGTTTCAGTCAGTGTTTCAGGCCAACTTGCGCCCAACGCTCACCAATCAGCGACAAAAAATCTATCCCACTCTCTCCTCGCCAGGCTTCGCAGGTGAAGAGGAGGAAGAGGCAGCAGGAGGGCGGCGCGGCCAAGAAGGCGGGCGCCATCCGACCTTCAGTCAAAATGGAAACAACTGCCACTCTTCGTCGGACCATTGCCCTCACTCTCTTTAAACCATGACCCTCACTCTTTTTGAGCCATCATCCCTTTTCCTATCTTTTCCTTACTTGGCCCAGGGTGGTGGGGTGAAAGGGCGAGTTGGCCTTCGGGATGTTTACCACAACCACGTCAAGGAGGCCTCTGAGAAGCTCAGGCAGGAACATCCTGATTGGAAACCTCGCCAAGTCTTGGCTGAAGCGAGGAAGCTGCCCCTCGCCCAGTCCGAAGAAACAAACCAGTTGTGTCTTAAGTCTAAAGTGTGGTGCTCCATTGTTTCAATGACTGGTTCATGAACAGTGCTTCATGAGGTGGCGTGACCATCCTTCAAGGACCGCTTCGATCAAGAACATGTCTTCTAGTGAGATCAGCCGCAGGCGCCTTAAGACCTACGTGTCTGCGCCCGAAGAGCCTGAGCGTGAGACGCCGGAAGATGACCGGGCGATGGCTGAGGAAGAGCACCAGGAAGAAGAGACTGAACCAGCTTCTGCAGCCGAAGCTGCGGAGGATCCAGAAGATGATCTGGATTCTGATGAGGGTCTGTGAGCCAGGGGTTGACTGCTTGCAACGCAAGAGTTTTGTATCAGGGCCCTGTGTTTGAACACTTCAGGACTTAATTCAGGTTTCTGTCTGCCAAATGACTTGTTCTGTTGTTGTTGACCCTGCTCCAAAAGTACTTCTAATCAGGTGTGTCAAGGACTCCTTGACCAAATCATCATTAGGCCGCCTGTAGTGTTGATCAACGCTGCAGCGAAAGCAGTTAGTCACAGCTTAAGGGGGAGAAGCTGAAACAGCGTGCAAAAAGTCTGCTCTGTGATGAAAACAAATCTCTTTGATAAGTGAATTGTTTGTCGCCCTGTGATTGTCTCTTTGACAATCAATTTGCCGGAGGTGAGCTGGACAGGGTCATGTCCTGCAAGTGGTTTCACGACACTGAACAAGTCTTTCTCGAGATGGCCGACCCCTCGAAAAAGAGCACCAGCGACTCCGAGGTTTGTTGTTGGAGAACGTTGATCTGTGAGCTAGAAGAAGAAGGCATCACTGGAGCGACCGTGAACAGCCATGATTTGCAAAGCACGAAAGACGAGAAAGGTCCCTAGACAACTATTAGTCGTTTAGCTGGACTTCATTCAACCATTCATTTCCTGTTTGACACACTGTGGCTCTCTCTTGTTTTGTTTTCTGGTAGTTGAGGTGAGCAGGCTTACAAGATTTCGCCAAAGACCAACGAGATGTGGTACGGCTGGAATATGCCCACCAGCATGCATGGGCTTAAGTATGCGTCAGTGGCTTCTATCTTTACTGCCAAGGCTAGGTCACACAAACCATGCCACATGTTTGGGTGGGGATATGTTGGGATGTTAGCTTCAATACCAGTGGCAGGAGCTGGAGGAATCACGGCAGTTGCGAAAAGTTTGGCGAATTTTCTACACCAAAGAAACCAATGCCACTTGGCACATCGCACTCCGTGATTAAGTCTAAACCAACATAAAATGAACAACGACCTACTGCAGAAACCTTGGAGCTAAGGAGTTGGGTCCACGCACCGCAGCCAAATTATATAGAGGTTTTAGTTGCTTGCGTGACTTTTCCACTGGGGTTATCATGCTGCCTCAGGTAAGCCACTATGGTTTATCCGATCTCCCCTGCACATGTCACCTGACCAAGCGATCCGGCTTGTGTAGGATCCCGCTTTCATCGCTTGATTTTGACAGCAAGCATGGAGCCAAGTCTAGGTGCCCCGGCATGCCCCGGCCAAGAGAGCCACGTCGCTCCGGACGACCCGGGATGAAGAAAAGGAGAACTTGGTGCTCAACGCGATGTTTTTTGAACTGTGTGGTGGGTAAACTTGATGAGCAGTCAGTGTGTCGTCCTCCTCATGTACATGTTTCTTGCTCCAGGTACGCAAGATTGTGTGGTGTGTAGTAGCGGAGGCGGGAACAGGGAACAACCATGACCCAAACATACCAAACAAAGGCCTTTGAGAATGGGTCCTACTTGTCTGTGGTTCATTTTGCCTGCCAGGCATCTTCTTTGGCCCCCCTTTGGGCCAAGACTACAGCTGACGCTGTGGAAGTGGAAAATGACAGCGAACACAGCATTGCAGGGTGTATGTGAGTGTGATTCTTCGTTGTATTGGGTGAAATCTCATTGCACTTTTGATCCGTTACTAGGGGAAGTAGAAATCATAACACCCAAATGCAATGAGATGACACCCAAATACAACGAAATGGACTTTAGAATAGAATGTCGCCAGTTCTCAGCTTCCAGCTCCACAGATTGCTCCGCGTACTACAAAGTCGCCAGTGCCTGCATTTCGCGCACTCGACACGCACGATCCCCGCAGAGGGTTGCGCGCACACCACTCTCGCCTGCATTTCGCGCACTCGACACGCACGATCTCCGCAGAGGGTTGCGCACGGACCGCACCAATCGCACTCTCGCCTGCATTTCGCGCACTCGACACGCGCGATCTCCGCAGAGGGTTGCGCGGGCATGGGACAAATCGCACTCTCGCCTGCATTTCGCGCACTCGACACGCACGATCTCCGCAGAGGGTTGCGCGGGAATGGGACAAATCGCACTCTCGCTTGCATTTCGCGCGCTCGACACGCACGATCTCCGCAGAGGGTTGCGCGCGCGCAGACCCAATCGCACTCTCGCCTGCGTTTCGCGCTCGACACGCACGATCTCCGCAGAGGGTTGCGCGCGCATGGGACAAATCGCACTCTCGCCTGCATTTCGCTCACTCGACGCGCACGATCTCCGCAGAGGGTTGCGCGCACACCGGACAAATCGCACTCTCGCCTGCATTTCGCGCACTTGACACGCACGATCTCCGCAGAGGGTTGCATTTTCGGTTGACGCTGTTCGTCCCACCCTCCGCCTTTAAGAGAGAATTTATAAAGTGGGGAAATGTTTTTCATTAGTTATAAGGACATCTCCCGTGCAAGTTCTCCATACTCTTACTTGCATACTTGCACTGGGATTGCGCTGGGATACTTGCATACTTTTGCACTTGGATACTTACACTTGCATACTTACCCTTGGATGCTTTTTACCCTTACACTGGGATACGTATAGACGTGTATGTGTTCAAGTGTCAGTGTGGAAGCGTCAGTGTTCAAGTGTAAGTGTTGAAATGTCAGTGTTCAAGGGATTTTCCGGAAGAACCCTTAACAATGCTTTCAGGAAAACAAAAAACAAAACTGCAGACCCATGAACCATCCCAAGACTTCAGACATAAGGTGTGCAATTCCTTTTAAACACGATTATATCCTGTTATTCCCTTTGAAAAATGATTATGTGTTTGCATTGCTCTTCTAAACATGATTATTTTCCCTTAATGTATATATATTTCGCTTATTTTTCATGTTTTAAATGCTTCTGTTTTTTAGCATTGATTTTTTTATCAGGTTAAAGAATAGTTGATTCCTGTAAAAGTTAATATTTTCAATTTGGTTCCTTTCTAGAACGGATATTTTCTTTAATTTCTTGTTCAGAATGATTAGTTCCTGGTATTTTCCTTTAAATATAACTAGTTTCCTTTATGTTCCTTTTAACAATTACAAGCACTTTCTATTTTATACGTGATTAGTTCCTTTTATTGTGCTTGTAACAATGATTATTGTGGTGTTTATTTACCTTTAGAAACGATTAATGTGTTTGATGTCTATGTCCTTTTATAATGATGAAACCCTTTCATTGTCTTTTTAACAATTATATATTTATTCTTCTATGTCCCTTTTTACATATTTTTTTTGATTCTTTTCATTTGCCTTTTGAAAATGAACAGCTCCTTTCATGTTCACTTTTAACCATTAACAATTTCTGTTTAATATGACAGGATGACAGGATTTCTTTTTAATATGAAAAGTTATGGTCATGTTTAAAGGGAAAATGAAAGGAATCATAAAAGGGACAATGAAATATAAAAGGACATGAGCATTTTTAAAGGAAAATGAAAGAAATGAATCATTTGCAAAGGATGAATGAAGGGAATGGATCATTTTTAAAAAGGAACATAACAGAAAACATTTATTTTTTAGAACAAAATAGAGATATTATATAATCAAATTTAAAGGGAACATGAAAAATTTATATATATAATCATATTTGAAAGGAACATTGAAGGAAATTATACAAATTGCAGGTTGAAAGGGGTTCATAAAAGGGAAAATGACATATGGAAGGAATGAATCATGTTTAAAAGGGAAAATGCAAGGAATTGTTCAATTTCAAAGGATACATGAACCGGAGTCATACAAGGGAAAATGAAATATAAAAGGAAATGATCATTGTTTAACCTTCTATCTCTGCCATCACGAGGGCCAGACTCGAAAGCAACTTGACACTAATTAGATGCTGATAAGCCACAAAACTAGTGCATACATATCTTCATTCACATTCAATCTTCTAAAAAGGTGCACTCCCACAGCCTGCCACTCTCTCAAAAAAAAACATGGCATGGGGATATTGAGTTGCGCCACTTGCTGGCACCCCTTTGCACAGTGTTGAAAACGACACAACACCAATTTTCTCAGCACTGCTTGGTTTTATTTGCACGACAGGTATCTTGCTGCAGCAAGCTTGCACGCAGCCACGTTGGGACCTTTGAAATGCAAGATCTGAAGGATTCCATCAATTTGTTCCTTTGTCGATCAAGGTTGGCTTTGCAGGATGTACCAGTTCACACAAGCGTCTGAGAGATGTTGTGTGTTTGTTTCGAGCACTATTTTATACCTTCATCAAATTTTCCATTTTCCCACTGTCATACAATGCCAACAGTGCAGTCTCTCAGTCTTTCATTTCATTGACCTTATATGGATGCCTTTAGGTTTTAGTGACTGTCCCGAATATTTGGGGTGCCACGGCGAAAAAAACGGTACTTTGGTGCTTTGATCTTGTTCTTGGTCAATCAGTGCACAAGATCATGTTGATGTTGCCTGCAGCAATTCAAGCTCATATTTGGAAGGTTGACTTCATTAGGTTGATGCCACGGGAATTTTTGTAGACTAGACCAAGCCTAAAGGCATTGTTATAATATCATGCAAGCCTCAAGTTCTCAGAGTGGCAGGACCCTTTCTCATCCTTCCCAAAAGCGTCCGCTTTGGAAGATAAAGGTCGAGCTAAACGCCATTGTGACAAACAAGTCCGTACTAACAATTACTCATTACTATTACTAATCCCATCATACCAAGTCTCCCCAGCAGCCTATTCAGAAGCCTGCCATCAGATACTGGCGTCGCATAGGCTCGAAGCAGCTAGACAAGGACAAGCACAATTAATGAGGGATTCAGGGATTCCACGTTTTCGATGCCATGTCATCATGTCATTTGCATTTATTTGCTGTATCAGGTTTGCCCCTTGTTTAGTATGGCAGCTCTTTCACCAGCGCCCATTGAATTTGAGACCGACGTGCAACACCCTCAAATCCGAGCTCATGCAAGTGCTCGTGTAGGGTGAGAAGAGACCCATGATGTTGTTGGTCAGACTGCCATAGGCTGAAAGCATAAGCGGATTTTTGCCATCACGAATCCAATTGCCTGCAATGGTAATATACAAAGGTTTCTGAATGAAAAAAGCAACACTGCTGGGTTCTCATTGGGCAACTTCAACACACTGCCAAGGTTGGTGTCAGGATCTTTGGAGATTTCAGCTGCAAAACTTGCAAGTGGCCTATCCTGGCTGGCGACGTCCTTGAAGGCGAACCTGATCAAAAAGCTAGACAGTTCCACATACTCCGTTGCTTTGCACGTGGTCATTGTGTTTTGGTTGCCTTAAGACAAGCAGCAGCTTCATGCACAGCATGTAAACCTTTGCCTGTGCGAATGCAGGAGCAAAATAGCGTTTTAGACAGCTTACGCAGACGTATGGACTCCTTTCAGGAGATCCTGATGTGCCGTTAGTATGGAGTTTTCGATAGTTGTTTAACTTGTTGCCATTTTTCAATTGATTTCTCAGGATGGCGGTGCGGCCTTTGTGCGGGGTTCCCATTATGTTCACCAGCTTTTGCAAAGACTGCTGAGACGGTCGACAACAAACACAGACCTCAGACCTCGTCTATATTGATTGGACATTAGATTGGCTTCAGAGTCTTGTTGCCTGCAAGCCATTACTCTGTGAGACCGCATTCAATGTGAATCAACATTCGTGTATCGAGCTGAACTTACACAAGTCAGGCCTCACGTACCAGATGCAGGGAGATTGTCCATGAAGGCATGGAAAAGCCTAAATTCCCTTATTCAAGAAATCTGTCAAAGCCACTGCCAGAATCGAGGGATGGCCAGTAAGCAGTGATGTGATGCATTGTTTCTTGCGTACTTGATTTGGCAACGGAAGCAACACAACCAAGCGGCAAATGCAACGGAGAGACAAATATATAAAAGCCTCACAGGTTGCATTATGCCCGTGAGACTGAGACACATTACGTGTTCTCGTTTAGCACAGCTGTTGAACTGTTGTGCTTTCTCAATGTTAAAACCATTGCTTCACGCAGGATGAGATGCTTGCTATGCAACTGAATTCACTCAAGCACGAGGCCTGCTCATTGTTAGTTTTGGGGCTTGCTGATATCTTATTGGCCAGAGTTTCACAGTGCAGCTGCATTTACTGTGGTTGAAATGTTCAAATCTACGTAGAAGTGGACTGCTCAACGTGTACATTTTGTACTGTATACATCAATACTAGCATGTCCCAAAACCGCCAAGAAAAAAATGCATTCAAGTAGTCTCATGAGAGCCAGAGACGGACGGTTTGAAAATATGTATATATGAGCACCCACTTTTATTTAGGCTTTAGCACGGCATGCTTTATTTGCTTCTCTATCATCAATATTCGCTTGTGAACTAGATAGGGCCCCACATCAACGAGAAAAAATACTTGTGTTTAATGACATTAAAGTAGTCTGAACGAGATAGTGTTATTTGCTACTAACGTACTCTCAACAAGATACTGTGACGTGACCTCCTGCTTAAGTAGTCTAAAAGAGATAGGGCCCCCACATAATATATAGATAGTGTGTATGTGCGTTTAGTACCAAAAAATAAATGCTGCCACACATATGTTTGTAAGTCTAAAAAATGACTCAACTTGCGCCGTGGGCCCACTCATATCACTTTTCATGGTACTAGCGGAGCTGGCCGCTCAAACAACAGCAGAAGAGTTGCTTTGTCAGTGGATGCACCGCAGGGAATTGTCACACCGCAAGAATCTTGGAAAGCGATCTGGTGAGGCGGGTGACATTCGCCTGAGGGGCATCACTGACATGCGCCATGAAGGCAGATCCGGATTGCGTTGGCCACTGATCAGTGGGAAGTTGGTCATTGCAGTTTTATCTTTGATTGGAGTCAATGCTTCAGACAATGGCCGGGTGAACAGCAGCAACAACGCGCTAGACTGGATACATTGCAGTTGCAGCAGGCCATTGGCAGTACAGCTCAGGGCTGTGTTGGGGTGACACAATTGGTCACAGGAGGTGTGGTTCAGAAAATTGTGCAGCAAGTACATGCAGCAATGCAACAGACTCAGCAGGATGTACAAGGACAGATCCAGCAGATGCAGCAGGGACACGTTTTATGCAGCAACGCAACAGAATCTCCAAGAGGTACAACAGTTGAATCAAGCATTGCAGGGTATGCAGCAGCAGTTGCATCTGGTGGCCGCTTCAGGGCTCCACATCAAGGACCTGCTGGCTCGCCATTGCATCAAGAACCTTTTGGCTCTCTTCTGAATGCCCCGTGCAGCAGTGTCTGGAGTGACAGGGCTGGGAGGAGTTGGAATGGGTGTGAGCCCAGCTATTGCATATGCAATCCAGTAAGGATGTTGTCAAAGCCGAGAACATATGACCCTGTGAAGAATCCTGGGTATGCAGCT